TGATGTTGAATGGGTGTTGACGTGTCGTACTGGTATTGTGTGGCACGGGCAAATGGCGTTATGCTCTTAGACTCATAAATCTCATATTTGCTTTCTAGTACAGATGATCTTAGGATATTAATGTTAGTATTAAATTTAGTTTACAAATTGAATTTTAGACAAAAAAAAAATAGAGTTTAATAATGGAAAAGAATAATATTTTGAGTAAATTACATATTTTTCCATCTACTTAATACTTAGTTTTTATTTTGGTTATCAAATTATTATTATTTTTTAAAATCATATATAATATTATGTTTTGGTTTTGTTTTAGTCACACATTGTTAAATAATTAACAATGATATTAATGTGACACAATAAGATAATGTCACATCATCATTAAAAGTATAATTTAAAAAAATAGCACGTCAGTATCATTGTTAATTTTCTAACGGGGTGACCAAAACATAACTAAAATGTAACATTAGATATGATTTTAAAAAAATAATAGCTAAGTGACCAGAATAGAAACTATGTAATAGATGGTGAGCAAATAAGTAGTTTACCCTAATGTTTTATAAGTTAATGTAACCAATGGCAAGGACGCGTAATAATACCATATGATAACTATGTATTACGATATTTTTTTTTAGTGGTTGTATATATTTTTTTTGAGCTTAAGTTAATTAGAAGGCATATAAATTAATTTTCAAGTAATTATTGATCTTCGTATATAAAAATAAATTAGAAAGTGTGGTTTTAGGTTGGTCCATCCTAATTGGTTAAGGCCAAGATCAAGTTGGTAATCATTAGATGGAGATTAAATGAACATCATTTTGATGTAGGCATGTCCATAAGCACGGGGCATACGTCTTATCAGGAACAAATTAAGTTTGAAAATGGAGGTGATTCTCTAACAAATGAAGCAGGAGCATGTTCTTTGCTTGCCATTTAAAGAAGCTAAAAGAAAAGGAATAATAGACCCCATAAAAATCACATATCTTACCTTGCGAAGAAAACAATGGATTTTCCACTTACCATCATTTTGATTTTGGTTGGATTAGGATATGACTAATGACACGGGGATAGACTGTCAGCTAGCTGGTCTTTGCGACCCTTAGAAGCCTCGCTCGATTGTTCGGTGTCTAAGTCAACCTAAACTCCTCGGTTAATGTTGCTACAGCGATAAGCATGATGGAAAAGCATAAAAAAAGTAAGCGTGTGTGGGGAAATTTTTTGCACGAATAATTGAGTTTATTCACACAAAACTCTCTATATGCAATGAAGGTGGGAAGACTTCCTTTTATAATGAAGTCCCCTTACATCTCATGAATACCCCTAGTCTAACTACAAGTAAAACTCTTTACTTTAGTTGAAACTCTAATGTTTGAATCATATTCAAACAAGGACTATGTTGCTTGGCTTTATTTTCCAAGCAATGTCAGGCCTTGCTAAGTGGACAGGCCCTAATTCGGTTATGGCCTCGGCCCTCAGTGCACCCTCGATATGAGCAGGCATCGACCCTGTATGCCCCCAATGTGTGTGCCCTCGACCCAAGTGGCCTCCCTTTGTGCGTTCATCTCAATTCTAGGCACACATCTGGTGTGTGTTGAGTACATCCCATTGCTTGTTGGCTAAAGCCCTCGGCTGACCTTGTCGTGCGTTGGCCCCGGTTCTAGGTGCACCTTGGTGTGCAATGGTCACGACCCTAGGCGATCCTTGCTTTTTTATGGTCATGCTTGTGGGTAGTTTGGGGTGGGCGTGTCTTGACCTTGTTCGGCACTGTGTGTGCCTTGTTCTCAGCATGGCCCTTGTGGGGCGCCTGGACAGCGTCTATCGCACCCTGGTGGGTGTTGGTTTCGATACCACAGTGGGAGAAGCCTGTCTAGTGCTGGTTGCAGCCTCACGGGTAGTCTGTTGTGGGGCGACCTCGCCCACAAGTTCTCGGCCCGCGATATTCTCCCCCACTTGTTCTATCGACGCCCTCGTCGCTAGGTTTTCTTTGGATTATTTTGTGGTTTTAAAAGTATTTACCAAGGTGGCGTTCACCTTTTTTGGAGCATTCTTGATATGTTAGATAATTGTTAAGGTCTTGGTCTCTTCTTGATCACTTTGTATCAACGGGACACTACCTTGTCATCGGGAATTCATGATGTTCATGACATTTGCATAGGGAATGATAGAGGCTTTGGTATGGACAAGGAAGTTCAACCGATGACAAAATCAAAGTCATCCATGGGGATTATCATGAAGTCTACGTTATCCTTCCATCCTTTAATCTTCAATTCTATCTTCCGCGCCATTCCAATGATTAGAACTTCTTCAGTGTTGATGGTCTTGATTGCTCCATTTTATGGTTCAATTTTGAGTCCAAGATTGTCGTTGACCCTTTTTTATATGAATAAATCGGTTGCCTCGGTATCCATGAGGGAAACTCTAGATTATCCTGCAAGATTGATGTTCACATACATTAACTTTTGCTTTCGGCTTTGGTATTGTGTGATTTGGAGTGGGTAATTTTGTACCCTTTGTGGTCTCCTCCCTCGGTGATCCTTTCGTTGCTTGGAACATACCCTTGACTTAACACTTGTAATTGAGCTAAGTTTACATTGTAATTGAGCTAAGTTTACATACTTCTTCATCTGAATTGTCGTATTCTTCGGCAATGGATGCGAGTTTTTCAGTGTGGGGGCAATCTCTTGCAAAGTTTCCTTGCTCATGGCAATTAAAGTAGCGAATCGATTAGATGTCCCCCTTCTCTTTTGACTTGTTGTGCCGATAGGTTCTGCCTTTTGTAGGCTCCTCATCATCACTTTATAGGCTTTGTTCTTGACCTTTATCTTGGTTTCTTTTACTAGAACCCTCGGCTTTTGATTTGGGAGGCTTGGGTTTCTTAACACCAAGTTCGATGAGGAATTCGGAGGTTGTCAAGGCTTTAGATAATTCTTTGACACCCTTTCTTTCCAACTCATTTTTGGCCCATGGCTTTAATCCATCCATGAAGGTGAAGAACATGTCCTCTTCGGTTAGACTCGGGACTTGTAGGCTTAACTCGACAAATTATTGAACGTGCTCCCTTAGAAAGCCTTCTTGCCTAAGATGCCTTATTTTTTATCGTGCCTCGTTCTCGGCATGATAGAGGTAAAATTTCTCTTTGAACTCACCTTGGAATTCTGCCCAGGTTCTAATGGTGATGCCATCTCGTTTCATCTCGGTGCATTTACATTACCACCATAAGAGTGCTAAATCTGTTAAGTAAATAGAAGAAATGTTTACTTTTTCAATATCATTCTTGATGCCCATGGCTCGAAAGTATTGATCCATGCTCCACATAAAATTTTCAACGTCTTTGGCTAACCTAGTCCCTTTAAACTTTTCTGGTTTAGGGACTTCAGCCCGCCCTTTGGGGGGCCTGGTTAACATGCTGCCAGCCACAACAGCCTTGCACAAGGCCACCTCGGTCTTGAGTTGCTCAATCTCTTTCTTTAGGCTTTCAACCTCAGTTTCGAAACCCTGGTTTTTAAGTTCTTCGACCTCTTGTGTTAAGGCCATGATTTGGGCTTCCATAGCATTATCTTGTTAAGAACTCTTCGTATCTAATCCGTTGAGTGCAGCCTACACATCTTCTTGGATATTCTCCAAGGCTTCAAGCTTCTCGAGATCTAGTGATCCCAGCTTCTCAAAATCGATGGATTGTAACAGATCCAAACCTCATTGGTCTCTTTCGTAGAGTCCTCAAGTCTGGTGATCTTACTTTGGAGCGATGTGAGCATGTCCTTTGACGTTCCTCACTTCTTCTCTGCGTTGCAAGTCTCGACGCCCTCGGATGCTACTGCCTCGCCACGTTGTGAAGCCATCTCGTCTAGTCACGAACCTGGCTCTGATACCACTTAACACGGGGCTAGACTGTCGGTTAGCTGGTTCGTGCGACCTTTAGATGCCTTGCTCGGTTGCTTGACGTCTAAGTAAGTCTAAACTCCTCGATTAATATTGCTATAGTGATAAGCACGATGGAAAAGCATAAAAAACGTACATAAGCGTGTGTGGGGAATTTTTTTGGCACGAATGTCTGAGTTTATTCACACAAAACTCTCTATATCAAATGGAGGTGGGGAGACCTCATTTTATAATGAAGCCCCTTACATCTCATGACTACTCCTAGTCTAACTACAAGTAAAACTCTTTACTTTAGTTGAAACTTTAATGTTTGAGTCCTATTCAAACAAGGACTATGCTACTTGGCTTTATTTTCCAAGTAATGGCAAGCCTTGCTATGTGGACAGGCCCTAAGTTGGTGTTGGCCTCGGCCGTAGTACACCCTTGGTGTGAGCAGGCCTCGGCCCTGTGTGTTTTCCTCACCCCCAAGTGGCCACCTTTGTACGTTCATCTCGGTTCTAGGCACACACCCTGTGTGTGTTGGCACTGACCCTGAGTGCATCTCATTACTTGTTAGCTAAAGCCCTCGGCTGACCTTATCGTGTGTTGGCCTCTGTTTTATGTGTACCTTGGTGTGCAATAGTCACGAACCTAGGCGACCTTTGCTATTTGATGGTCGTGCTTGTGGGTAGTTTGGGGCTGGTGTGTCTTGACCCTGTTTGACGTTGTGTGTGCCTTGGTCTCGGTGTGGCCCTTGTGGGCCCGCCTGGGCGGCGTCTGTCGCACCCTGGTAGGTGTTGGTTTCGATACCACAGTGAGAGCAGCCTACCTCATGTTGATTACGACCCTACTTGTAGTCTATTGTGGGCCAACATCGCCCACAAGTTCACGGCCCGTGATACTAACAAACAAACAAAAGCTAAACAAGCCATCTTAATCATCTAATCAGACTAATGCAACGGTATCAGGCCGCCATAATTAGCCCAGCTTGATATCCGGCTTTTGAGCCGTCAACAATGGCGAAAATCCATTATTTTGAATTTTTTTTCTCTTTCATTCTTCCCGGTCCAATCCAAACAAAATATGGGTCTTGGGACCCTTACCTTGTCTGAAAGCGCTTGACTCGCTGTCGATGCAGTTTGTTTTCATTTTCTCCTTCCTTTCTGTATTCGGAAAGAGGGAACTTTTAGTTGGATTTCGCCACAAGGAAAAGAGAAGAAAAAACGCTACCAGAAGCCATTCATATAAAAATAAGCCAATATCTTTGCAAAAGGAAGATAGTAATACGAGACATGAAGGGTTGTGCGATTTGTTACAGGCCGGTGATTGTGGGCAAATCTATTGATGAGAAAGGCATGAGCTTTGTATCGACAAATAGACTTGATTTTGGTGCTGTTATAGGTAAAACAGTAAGTGCAAGATCCAAGGGTTCAAGGGTTTTGACTGTCAGAGCTTCTGCTGTTGATTCCTATGAGAGCTCTTCAGATTTTGTTAAGCGTATGGAAAAAGCTTGGGCCATCTCTCAGGTACACTCTTTTCTCTTTCTAACGTTATTATCTGCGGCCTGGAATTCAAATCTTATATCAATTTCATTATTTCAATGGCTCAACTCTCTTGACAATAGCGTTTCAAACTTATTGCAAATTGGTGCATTAGGAGGCATATTTCAAAATTAAATTGGATTGAATCTGATTGGGTTTATGTGGATTGATTTTATTTTCGTAAATATTTTAGAAGCGATAGTGGGTGGTTGATATTGGATGCGTCTTATATATTCAAAGTCTGGAAGTTTCCTTTCATTGAAGAAGTCTCTGGTTGAGCAGATAGGGAATTGAATGATTCACCATTTTTCTTCATTAATTCTGTACATATTTGAGTACCAGGTTGTATTTCACTTTCATCGGTAGTTTCCTACTCCATTGTTAACCAGGGTAGTTTCCTTATTTGGTTCTTAACTTAAAAGGTGTGCATTGGGGAGTTGTTAATGGTGAAGAACTCTTTGAACACAGCTGATACATATGCTATATAACGTAAGAAAATCTTATTCTCTTAGTGTTTCGGCCTCAAGCTTTCAATGAAAACGAACTAAAAATCACATCCTTCTCATTCTTTTTCATAAGATTACCCAATCAATGTACAAATATATCAATGTATTTGTTGGATAATCGTTCCTACATTAAGCTTAGTGCATTCGAGATTTTTAGTTATTGTTATGTATTCCTAAATCATGATTTAGTTGTTGATTAATCTATTTGTATCTGTTATTATTAATGATGTGTTTGATATAAAAACGGTACCTTGTACCTTGTTCTTGACTGGCACCTTGACTGGCACTTTGATCTTGAGATTCCAACGACTGATCTTGGTTTAATAACTTGATTGAACAAAGTAGTTATCTGTTTAAATCATAAATCTAACATTAAACACTACAGAACCATATTTACCTTTGATCTAGGTTTTTTCTACCAAAAACTTGTCGGAAACTTATTACCGTGATACAAAAACATTCTATGTTGATTGGGTGAAGAAAGCTTATGGAAAAAATGAAAAGATATGATTTTTTGGTTGGAATCTGGTTTGATTTTCTTTAAAAGTTTGACGGCTAAAACACTAAGAAAATAGAGTTTTTACTTTTTACTAATATAATGTTACTGAAATAATCTAAAAAATGTAAAATTTGCTTTAACGGTAATTTTTTAGGGTAATGCCATAATTTTTAGGAGGTTACATTGCTGCTGATGCTCAGAACGAGGAACTAAATCGTTTCATGTAGCAAGGTTTTGGGAACCTGTTGCATTTTTTAGTCTATTAAGGCTGAAAGCAAACTTCCTTTTTGGGTCCACTAATATCTTATTATCTCGATGTTCCTTCCAGCAACCTAGACCAATTGTTTGTTCTTCATGCGACTCCAAGGGGAACGTTGAATGCCAGTGGTGTAGGGGTACAGGCTTCTTCATCCTTGGGGATAATATGCTCTGCCAAGTTCCTTCTAGGAATACCAGTTGTGTAATCTGTGCTGGGGAGGTACATATCAAAACGATACTCATCTCTGTATGACATATATGCATGCAATAGACATTTTGTATTGCCAACTGCCCAACATACTGAATTCTTGTTTTCATGGGGTTATTGTAGGGGTCGAAGTGCTGCTCGGATTGTCAAGGAACCGGATTTCGGGCCAAGTGGATGGGTGAACCTCCTATTTCCAAATAGCCGATAATTTCTCAGGTGTTGCCTTATTGTTGCCAAGTAAAAATGTTGTAGGTTGCAAAACAACCATGACATTTGTTTGACATGCCCATTGTAAATGATTGATCCGACCCCGAATTACAAAATCATACCATGCTGTGTTCATGTATTTGTACAATGTAAAAGAGGAAAGAGACAACGGTGGTTGATTGAAATAGTCGTGAGTGTACAATAATTCATTGTTTATATAGACGGAAGTTATTTTAGAATGTTTTATTTCCAATGCATTAGCAGGATGATGTCACTTATCACTATTTGAACTTTGTTCATTTTCGGTGAGAAAAATACGTGAAAGATGTAATTTAGAATCTAGGCTTAAATTATCTGCTGCTTAATGTGGTTTTGCTGCTGAATAATACGATATCTCATACACTCCACTTAGGGTTTTTCCTTTTGCTTCAATTAGCTCTTGAATTATTCTATTTTTCCGGTTTGGTACTTGATATGCTAACACATCGTCGATGACATGAATATAATAGACACGTGGTACATTTTTATTAATTGATATTACATTTTGGGTTGAACGAAGATCGAATGATAGATAATTTTTTGATAAACTACATAAGATATCACTAAACTTTAAGAGTTGACTCGTTTACACCACAAATTTTATTTTATCAATTTTAGCACTAATATTTACTTTTAAGTTTAATTATGTAATTCCGCTATTAATGATTTAAAGGGATGATGGCATGGCATCCATGCATCGTGACGTTGGTGATGTGGCTACCTCACCAAAATAATATCGTTTTTGTATTACTGTGTTTTGGTGCTAAAACCCTAAAACGACGTAGTTTTATTTGAGAAAATTTAATAAAATTTCCGAAGATAATCATAAATTCCAAAGAAATCCCAAATAAAACTTAAATTCCATAAAATTCCAAAAAGAGTTCTAAACTCTAAATCACAATTCCATAATTAACCGATGCTACTACTGCTGTGGAAGAGGATGATTGCTAAATTCTAGTTGATGTATCAGTGGCTGCTTCTCCAAAGTAAGACACATTATCTTGTGGAATTTTTGAATATGGTGGATACTTATAACCCTTATTTCGAAGGCCACCTGTCAAGTTTCCAAGTTTCAGTTCCTTACTTTCTTCCAGAGTAGATCATTGGAATGCTCAGTATCTTCAATGCCTTCAGCCAACCGTGGAGTGAAACTACTGCTTTCAGCATTGTAGGAATCCATATTCTGTTTACCACTACCTATACTAGGATTGCTACTCTTGACATGCTTAGATTTGTCTACCTCTTTTTTTTTAATAATAAGAAGAAAAGCCTAATTAAGTTCTGTAAACACTAATTTTTTTTTTCATTTTTGTTTTTATTATTATTAAAATTATTATTATTATTAATATTATATATATTATTATATTATATTATTATTAAATAATTATTACAAGCCCAGATCCCGGGAGCCCAAATACAAATCCCAGACCCAACCAGAACCGGCCCAGACCCAAATGGAAACCCTGAACTAATTTGGGGTTTCAGCTAGGGTTTCTAAACCCTAGCACTCCAGCCGCCTCTGATGATTCCAGAAGGCCAGCCGCCGCCTCTGCCAGGTGGTCCAACGTCCAGCTGCCGACACTCTAGATGCTTCCAACTGCCCCACAACGACGACACCTTGCTGCCACGACGCCAACAGAGGATTCCAAAAGGCCAGCTGCCCCCCACACGTCGCGGCTATGGGGTGAGTCACCACATAGCTCGGTGACTCACCGAACTTCCCCCTTCGGACCGGTCCGAGCATGGCTCCGTGGTGGCTATAAAAGCCACTGGTTCCCTGCAAACAAAAAAGAGAGAACAAAGACGACAGAAGGAAAAAAACGAAGGAAGACAGAAAGCTACCAACGATCCCAACCAACAACACAACAACCAGAAGTCAAAAAAAAAAGAGAGAGAGCTTACTCGGTCATCAGAGACTTCGAAACATCACCGGAAACCTTCGAACTTCGAAGGTAAAATCCTAGATCTAGGAAATCCTAAGGGTTTTTAGGATAAATAAAGGCCTTATTCGGAATTAGAAAGTGAAGATCTAAGTTTTGGGGTATTTTATAAGTTTCTGGCCACCGTGAACGGTGGCCGACGGTGGTGACCGGTGCCGGAACACGGCTGCCGGCCGGAATTTATCTCCCTCCGGTGGAGGGTTTAGAGAGAAGACAGAGAGAAATTTTTTTTCTCTCTGTTAGAGAAAAAAGAAGAAAGGAAGAAATGAGAAGGGTGGCCCTTGTGGCCGGCTTAAATGGGTATAAATACCCTCATCAAAACGACGCCGTTTTGGTGAGGGTATCTGTGTAATTTCACATATGGGTAAACCCCATCCGCAGTCCATCAGTTTTATAACTTTATATTTTAGTCACTAAATCAATTTTTAGATTCTTTTAATTCGGTTTTTGAATTTTACATATATGTATTTTAGTCCTTAACCGTAATTATATATATTTTAGATAAATAACATATTTAGTCCCTTATAGTTTAGTAATTATTATTTTAATCACAAACAACATGTTTTAATTTGTTTTAATTTAATATTTGAATTCAATATATATTTATTTTAGTCACTACATTAATAAATAGGTAATATAGCATGTTTAGCCACTGTATTTTTAAATAATTAATTATGAATTAGGTATTTAATTATATTAGGTTATAATTTAGTCACTAATTTCAATTTTTATTTATTTTTTACAAGTTTTATTTATTTTAAATATATAATTTTAATTTTATTCATTGTTTAGTTATATGTTAATTTTGTATGTTTACTTTTAATTATTATTACTATTATTATTATTATTTAGCCATAAATATATATATTTATATAATGAATAATATTTATTTTATTTATTAAAATCTTATTTAATTACTTTTAACTTATTTTAATCTTGTTTTAATATTTATTTATTTTTCAATATTAAGAAATGATAGTCTTAAAACAACTGGATGTCCATTTTATGATATTTTTAAATAAATAAATATCCTATTTTATAAATTATATATTAATTGTTTTAATTATTTATTAATATCGAAGAAAAAGAGCTGTCATAAGGCACCTAGAAGTCATTTTCTGATATTTCTAAATAAATAAATATTTTATTTATAAATATATATATAAATTAATATTTTTTTCATAATTATAATTTTGAAATAATAGGATTATAAATTCAATATATTTTGAAATTTTAAATTTCCAATAATAGAGACAATTTATAATTAAAAAGTACCAATTTTGGGCGTTATAGGGGTGCTAATCCTTCCCTAAACGTAACCGACCACGAATCCCTTTTTATTATTAAAGAACGAATTTTTGGTTAAAACACATATCAGTTTATCTTTTAATCGATGTTTTATTAAAAACTCTTTTAAAGGATGATTTTTAGGTATTCGACCTACCTGACCCAAAAGGCCGATGGCGACTCCCAAATTATTTTAAAAACCATTTATTCACATTACTTTTCCCGCCAAGAAAAAAATTCATGCCCGGACGAAAAACGATTACGACAGCTTGGCGACTCCACTGGGGAATTTTCAAGCTTTTAAAATCAATTATAAATTGTCTCTATTAATTATAAATTAAAAATTCATATATTTTAATTTATAATTCTTCCTTTTCAAAATTTTATATATACTTATTATTTTCATAGTATTTATATATATTATTAATATTTCATTTTATTTGCAAGTATTTTATTTCATTATTTATTTGTTTGTCAGAGGTTTAAATATTTCTCCTCACACACAACACATACATAACATAAGCTTTTTAATCAAGCTTGTCCCTTTTAAGTGGGAGTGAAAGCGACGTCTTCGTGAGAATTTATTCTCCGTGTCAGACCTAGCAAGTAACTTTCGGGGTTCATATGCTCTATAACTTCGTGAAAATTTATTCTCCGTGTCAGGCATAGAGAAATGTGTCCCCTCGAATTGAACTCGATCCACTTTAGTCTGTGATGGACTAGGATTGAGGGTTGACAACCCAAGGGGGCATCAACAAGGACAGTTCGAGTATCTTTACTCCTAGAACTGAAAACCTGCATATAAATAAACCCTAGAAACTCTCCCAATTCGAAACCATGCCGAAATTTTGTTAGTAGGTGTACACAAAGGAGAAATAAGTTTTAGCTTTTAATTTATTATTATTTTTTTCTCTCTCTAAATAAATGCATGTGAACTAGAAATCATGCAGTTAGGTTAAATTTTCCAAACAAAGCATGGAACTAGAAAGCATGAGGTTAAGATTTATACCTTGATAGATATATTTTTTTCATTAGTTGGTACTAACTATTCTATTTTTTTTTCTTATTTTTTCATGCATGTTACATTGCTCTAAACTTGTTTATATTGATTTCTTTTGTTTGCATTGCACGATCATGGCATAATTAAAAGGTGTTGACTTGAAAGACTGTTCATCAAATTGGAAAGAAATCGTAAATGGACAAAAAGTTTTATGATCAAACAAAATATGATGCGGCCAAGAAAAGGAATCCTGAGGGAACTCCAAGAATAGATGAGAGCTATGCACCCAAAGATCGTATGCCCATTGAAGAGCAAAAGGAGATACGAGAAATAAGAGAGCAGATGACCAAGATGATGGATAGAATATCTGTTTTGGACAAAGAAAAAGAAACCCCTTCACATAAAGAGAGAGAGCTCAATGAACCTAACTCTGTAATGTCAGATACACAAGGGACTTCTGATCTTAACCAGTTTGAGAAATTACAAACAATCATCATTCGTATTCACAAATCGTCTGGAGATACTGAAGAAATGATGACCACTATAAAAGCTTCTAGAGATGAGAAGAAATCATGCAATTTGAAATCGTCAAAGTTTAGTCTGCTCCCGACGTCTAAAACTCAGGTTCAATCCAAGACAAAAGGCGGTTCTCATATTAATGCTATATCTATATCATATAAAGAGTTGTATGAAAAGTTACTTGAAGCACGAGAAGTAGCTCCATATTACATAAAACCATTCCAACCTCCGTATCCAAACTGGTATGACATCAACGTTCATTGTGAATATCATACCGGAGCTCAAGGACATACCATCGAGAATTGTCTTGCCTTCAAACGTCGAGTCCAAAGTCTTTTGGATCATGGAACCTTACAATTTATGGTAAATGATCGACCTA